GTTAATTTTTAAATATTTTTTTCTCAGTGTAAATTTGATGTTTATGATAAAAAGGAATTGCGATAAATTGTACATGTATAAACTTATGAAATATTTAGAAACAATTAACATTTATTTGAGCGCAGTAGGTATTTTTCTGTATGTACTTGTAAACAATGGATATTCGGAATTATATATTTCTAATATTCGATTACCTCGATATATTCTATCTGCATTTTGAAGCGTGGATTTTAATTATTGTTCTTCATTTTAATTTTAATACGCAAGACGGTAATTGGCATAACTACAGATAAAATATGAGTGAGATAACGAATATTAAATAATACAAGGAAATAACAGAGATAATGAATAAATAATACAACATATCTTCCTTGTTAATAATCTTCTCTTTTTTCTTGTAATGAAAAGATGGAGATTGCAGCTCTTAAAAGAGCTGAATAAAGAAACAGCTGCAAAGGCAAAGATAAAAGTTATGCATCCAAAATTGTTGGCCAATAATAATGCCCAATGATACTGACGGAAACTTAAATTTGGACTCGGTACAATGCCGAGGATAAAGGCAAGTGAAAAGATGACGTTGACGAATTCAAGATTCAACTCGCGTCCCGAGGAGCATTATTAAAGACGAAATCAGCAATCGCGAGATTGCTCAGGCCGGTATTCGTAAGTTATTTACGATCTTCGATTGACGGCATAATTAATCATAGATTCGTATTCACGGGCCGCTATGCGACCGTTTGGATCGATATCTCTTGTTGACTCCACTCACGACGCTATGGTTATTCATTAAATTATTTATCAAACAGACCGCGGACTCTACGAATGCCGGCCTCTGAGTGGAAACTGAATTTCGACTCGCGTGTACCTCCCTATTCTCGGCAAGTTCGTTAAACGCTCGTTGAAATCGGAATTACTCGGTATAATACGTGATTTTGCACACCTGGTAATGCACGAAGATCGCTGTCGGCGTCGTTGGCCGCATCCCTGGCGTTGCTCCGAGCGTTCACTGACACACCACTACTGTCACTGACACTGATACTCGCGCGCGATTCGATCGGAGGCACAGACATAGGTGGTCTGTGCTTTTTAGCTGCACTGCTGAACTAGTGCAATAAGTTAGAGTGAAATAAATATACTTTCTCTCACTCTAACTTATTGCACTAGTTCAGCAGTGCAGCTAAAAAGAACAGAGCAAGGGTCCGTTTTCTATTGCTGAACTGGCTGCACTAGTTCTCTCTTATCTTTCTTCCACCAAATTTTATCTGTATATTTGTCTCTTTTTAAGTTCCGAAAGTACACTAGTTCAGCAATAAAAAACAGACCCATAATATATCTAGACCAAGCGTTGAGGGGTGAAGGTAGAGATTCACGTAGAAAAAGATGCACTGTGTTTGGAGACCTTACGTTCTCTCTCATTCGCGCATGTGTATGGGAATGTATACGTGAGAGAGATTAGTAAAGAGAAATAAAATAACAAGGATCTGGGATTGAAAACCACATCTTTCATCGAATTAATCGAATAATTTACCAAATGTTCTTTCCAACAAATATTGCACTTCACCATTGTGCACAATTTTAACCACACCTCTCTAACCATAACCTCTCTCACACATACGCTTATACACATGCGCGCATGAGAGAGAATGCAGGGTCTCAAAACGCAATGAATTCTTTTCTACGTGCACGTCACCCCCACTCTTCAATTAAAGGCAAACGCCCGGTCTAGATATATTGGCCTGGCTTACATCGTGCACTTGATGCGCGTACTAAATAGTAACTTCCTATTAAATAATCTTAATATCGACGACATATATAAACAACGGTATATTAAACTGGTGTAATACTCATCAAGAAAACGTATCGATTGAATGCATCGTCGTTGATATGCATTGTCAATATTAACCCTTTTAGCGTCGACCGAAAAAAATGTACCTAAACGTAAAATATCGGACTAAATTGATGTAGTTTGATATGGTTTGAAAAAAATTTCTGAAGAGAAATTCAACCATTTATAACGTCTTATACAATTAATTTTGAGTTCTCTCACGACGCGGATAAACCGGCACTTTTCGCAAGTGTTGCTAACAACGATATATCGCTGTTCGACACTATAAAGCTTGATCTACAGTATGTTCTTTGCTTTCTGCTTCTTTCTCTTTATCTCTTTCTGGCTCAAACTTTAAGCTTTAAACCAGAAAAAGACAGAAGACAAGAAACAGAATGCAAAGAGCATATTGTAGATCAGGCTTAAGGATTAAGATTATTTAAGAATAATAGAAAGTTACTATTTAGTACGCGTATCAAATGCACGATGTAAGTCAGGCCATTATGTCTATGATCGGAGGAACGGGTTGAAGAGCGCGGCGCCGACGAGTGCACGCACAGATGCTCCGAGAACCGGCGGAACATTTTAATCGGCGGGCGAAAACGCGAAGATAATGTTCGCACGTGCTCCGCGGTACGTGCTCGCTCGTCGTCGGCTCGGTACACAATGACGATCGCGGACAATGACGATAGGTACGCTCGGCGGTATATAAACAATCGGTGAAAGCGCGAGGTGCCTTCCCCCCCCCCCCCCCCCCCCCCCCCC